CCCAGTGAAAATTAGTCATTTTACAGTAGATTATAATCAAATGTTTGGGAAGAAATCTGCATATTAAAAATAAGGCACCTTGCTCAAGTTTTGTACAGACAAGTGACAACTGGGAATAAGATACTCTTATCAGAAGCAGAATTCCACTGTAAGAGCAGCACAAGCAGATACTTCATTAGAGCAGCCATGGTATTTACTGGAGAGTTAGTGTGTAGATAACTTGCAATATACCATCAAACAAACATTTACCGAAGTTACCAAACTAAACAAAAGAAAATTTTTTTTTTTTTTGTAACTCAAAATTATAATAATTCGGATATTGTGGAGTTCTGCATCTTCAATACAAACTTTTACAATGTTAATAGTGCCTCAAGATTGTACACAACTAAATAACAAATATGTGCAAGTAAAACTCGGCACTTATTTAACCAACTGTTGAAAACCATTCAGGTTAGATTAGCTCATATAGTCAAAAGGCTTGTCTTCAGCCTTAGTTTTTAGTATACCCCAAGCTGAGGCATGTGTACAGGGTTAAAACGCCATTTAACAGCTCATTAAACTACAATATGGTAGACAACATACAAGTTACCGATGAACATGCAATACTTGGTCTACAGAGAAGACAAAATTCACATTTGGAAAGACTAGAGCATTTATTTTTGATCATTTGAATGCTTCGGAAAAAACACAGACCCGCCATGATGGTTGTGACACATTAGTTGACCGGCTTGTGTGCTTTGACCCGATGGGTCAAAAATGCCATTCATTAACCAATCAGAAACAGTATTCAATTTTACTATTTTTTTTATTATTATTTTAGTTTATCAATATGATTTTTTTTGCTTGATATTAATTTACTTGGTCTTGTTTCCGAGTTGCATTACGATCGAAATGTGGGTATGTGTTTTGATAGTTTGATTAGGTTTACATTAGCGCAATTACGTGACTAAAACAACCGTAAGTTGAAATGCATGATGGGACCGTGAGGTTTGGAGAGCTCCTTTTTAAGATGTCGGACTGGTAGAAACGTTTTCGACATGCTGCAGATTGAGCTGCCCTGAACTTTGCTGTAGTCAACGTGACCTTGGTCAGTGAATACTGATTACTTTGTGGCTGGTTGAAGACGTGAAATTATCACGAACTCGTGCAGTGAGTACGAATCTGCGAACTATTGTTCTTAATAGCAAATCATCCACATTATCTCTGTGCTATTGGGACTTTATCGTGTGACTGCCAAGTTTAGAAGTTCGCCGATCTACGCAGTGACCTGACAGGGATTCTTTCACGGTCTGTGAATATCGATTACTATCCTGAATTGTTGCAAATCCGGACGGTATTCCGTCAGACACAACCTGCACAACACATCAGATGTTTAATAGCGATCGAGCCCAGCGGCTATCGTGAAAGCTACGCAGTGAGCAGACTTCTGGTGGCCAACTTCACAGCAATCAACTGAGAGCAGCAAATACGTTTTACGGACAACCGGTTGCTTGTACAAGACTATAATATCAGTGATAAGTACAGTGACATTGAACTATTCTCATTTGCGATCGCGCAATTGATGTGATGTAATAGGCATTTTGTAACTACTGTTATTGCTCAATGTTTTTGGTGTTGTATTGAATTTATAGTGAATCGATCGATAGTCAAGGATACTTCATTCAACTTTTATTTTTATTAAATATCAGTTTTATCAACTTCCATGATTGTCATTACTTATAGGCCATCAGCCGAGCCCCTCATAAATATTACTCTGTCACGTTGTCAACCGAACTCAGTTTCTTGGCTAATGGGTTGTATTAAGGGTTCTGAATTCCAAAACTGTCCTGGTAAAATTCAAGAATTTATTTGGCAACTAAAATATGCGCGATTTTGTTACGTTGATGTAATTACATGTTACACAATAAACATGTTCTTTTTTCTTGAGTAGCGTAAACTGATCGTGAACTCCGCTTTGACCATGTTGTATCACGGTGGAATTGATTTTGAAAGAATTCCAGCTTTCAATTTAAAGACTGTCAGAAAGTAATTACTTACAAACAAAGAGGTGCTAATTTCACAAAATTGACTAGCTGCTACCACATCGTGCGATGGGGTCTATTGTCAACAAATTATAATCCACGACTGGCAGGATGCGTGTTGGCCGGTAAGTAAATATAATACTAATCGGACAATAGTCCTTGTCGGAAGCGTTCCTGTGGTGGTCACTAATAGTTCCGAGTGTCGGTCAGGGCCGACCACCGCTGACCAGCATGGCGAGATCCCTGCCACTAATTGGGTATATTTACAGAGCACTCAAACCCTCCCTTTCTGGGCATGTGTAAAAAAGTTTAGAGGTGTGTCTTAATAATTTCAATAATTCACCATACAACAAATGGAATTTTTGGTTTATGTGCAATTCCATTAAAGCTAAATACAGTACAATACTAAAATAATGTAAAATGTGAATATTTTATGAAATATCTAAGCAATGCATGTATACAATAGATATACGATACTTACCACACGTGCAAATGGTAATTTTCGTAATAACAGATTAGTAGTTTTCTGAAACCTTCTTATTTCCATTAATGCCTTTGTGCCTGGCCGATATCTGCGACACTTTTTAGCTGTAAGAAACAAAGAAAAGGGAGAACATTGAAGTATTGATATCACAATTTCTTAATTTGTTACAGGTCTTAATATAATTTTTGACATGAAAAACAATTATACAAGTTTTATTTTATGAAAGATGATTAACAAAAAAAATGTAGGTGGTACATTTATAGGAACTAGAACAAACTGCTGTATATGTCTAAGCTTGTATTGGGTGGGCGGTTGTCGAGTGTTTAAAAATGACAAGGACTGATTGATTTCCAGGGAGCTAGTAACCAGGAATACATGACTGACCATGAGTCCATTCGTCCCAATATACTTTTGTCCCAATGAACTTTCGTTTTGTTGCCTTTGTTGTAAGCCTTTCAATCTTGTGCAGGATCATGTTGATTTCTATGTTTGTGTACAGGGAGTCTGCCAAAGCATTTAACTAGTTACTGACAAGCCTGACATATACCACGAAATATGAATACTCAATACCAACATACCTACATGTATATTATAAAGAAGGAATATGTATCTACGCAATCTATTGTATTAGATGGTGTCGAGACT